CAAATGGATGGTGAGCCACCCAGGGGGCTGACTTCAGCCAACCAACTATTCCTTTTTTTTTTTTTTTTTTTTTGTAAGGTTACTCCTTGCGAGATTGTCTCACTGAACTTCGCAGACACACAAGAAATTCAGTTCAGCCTAAACAGACCTGAAGAACTGAACGGGCACTTCATATTGCATCTGCAGTGCATAAAGACATGCACAACAGTACTTATTCCCTCTTAACTGAGATGGGAACATGCTAAATTAGTAAGTGCTAATTAACGAGGGGGTCATAATCCATTCTCTTCCTACCCAGTAAAACTTCACCTCAGACAGGCAGAAATACTTCGATTCTACTCTATTCCTTAGACAGCAACTTGTATTCAACAGTTTATATACAAGAAATAAATGCTATTGATTGTATTACTATCTGCCGTATCATAAACTGATTATGTATAGAGGTTCCCAATAAGCAGAAACATCACACTGTGAAGAGAAGGCAGAAGAGGAGATACAATGATTTCAAGTGACTATTCCTTCTCCCATGGGTTTAGGCCTTTACAGAACTACTCCCATTATTTTATTCTTCCAAGCATTTTACATCAAACATTAATACTCAGCTTTGTATACTGTACTTTCCAAACAGTGCATCTATTTTTCACCATTGATTAACTTAATCTCTTACCCCAAGAATACCTATTTTTTCACAATCATATTCTAAGGTTGCACTATTTCTCATAAGTATTTTTGGGTTTTCTCCTTTTGATACAGATAGGATGCAAAGTCATGCAGGCATGACTTATCTCCCGTACACAGCCCACAAGCATAAATAATGTAATTGAGTCTAAGTGCATGCTTTGTTCTTTTCTCAGGAAATAGATTGTTTCCTTACAACTTCAGTTACGAAATACAAAATGTATCATTAGGCTTTCACAGTCCTCAAGCTGAGGTCCATTAAATGTTTCTTATTGGAAGAAGCTACACTTCTATTTCACAATAAATTATTACAATTTTGGGTGTTATCATTGACATCAGTCATGCCCTTTTATGTTACTGAAGAGAGAAAAGCAAACCAAAACAATATTCTTTATTTACATTCATACGCTTTTAAGAGAAACAGTACTTACTAAAAATCTATCAGGGTTGTTTTAACTTAAATAGTATTTGCCACAATCAACACTTCACTGTTCTTTAGTTGTTCTATTTAAATGACCAGGTCTACCAAGTGACAATTATACCTCTCAGAGATACCATAAGCCTTAAAAAAATACTCAGAACAGCTTTTTCATTGCCATAAAATGTAAAAGCTACAACTACGATCAGTTTTAGCACACTGCATTTTACATGTTCAAATTATCCTTACCAGGCAGAGCTTGCAATCTAAACAGGCAAGACGAAGGAAATATCCTCGAACTTAAAAGGCACAAAAATATTGTGTAGGTAACACAGACGAATTTCAGTGGCAATTTGTCAAAGCTGCTCAGTTGCTTACATAGACTAGTGACAGAGTAAGAAAGTAAACAGGAGCTTCCAATTCCCCTAGCACACTCATAGTCCCCATGGCAAACTTTCCTAGATAGAAAACCATCCTCTTGTTCTTGAATAGCAAGACAACCTTTTCCATAATTCAATGCTGTTTCCTTTATCATCAAGTCCTATGAATTACAGTGACCTCCTCTACTCTATGTCACACTTGCCATGCAAGTCTTGCTTCAAATTACACAATTTTGAGAGAGATACATGTAGTGTTCTGTCCAGCAGTGTGGAATTTGTAGTACTGTGCAATTGCCTAAATCAAAGAAGAAATAAAGATCCATTTCTACTCAGATATTTCTTTATGCTGCCAACAGTCCTGCAGGACAATGGAGTGCTCTTATTTACTGAAATAAATTGTGACATGTTTTTACCATTACCAAAGGTCCTGTGCGCAATACAGTCTCAGGTTTTGGATATGGAATATATGAAAAATCAATCTCAGAATACTGTTATATAAAAAATACTTGGAAATCCAGTTCATTTATTGTTGTGATCTTCAGAATGTTTTGAAACATTGTCTTCAATGTCCTGATATCAAACTTCATCATAATTTTTATCTGTCTCACATGTCAAGAAAGACTGAAGAATGCACGTGAAAGTTTCATGACAATTCTGTACTGAAATACAGAATCAGCCAGTTTTTTCAGCCAGTTTTTTCAGTCATTTCAGCCAGTTTTTATCCGTTTGTCAAAGCTGCACAATGCAAACTTATTCTCTGTATTTATCCACTGCAACCCAGAAAAAGAGAACAGAACTTGCTGACTCTTCATTTCCTAGCCAGATTTTGCAACACTGTAAATTCCTGTTTGCCTACCATCCAATGACATTTTCTAATTTCATTACTTTAGAATATCTTTTCTTGCAATATGCAATGCACTTTTCAAAGTACACTTTCTGTATTTTCTCAGTTGCACATGATGGTTCAAATTTACAATTTGGAACCGCCTTTTTCTAGATTAAAAAAAAAAAACCAAAAAAAAACAAGAAAAAGGTTGGCCTACTCAGATTAAGCACAGATTACAACCTTTGTGGAGATGTTCGATTGGTTATTTCTTTTCTTTCATCAGCATTTTACAGTTCCGAGTCCATTCTCTCCCCACCAATGTTACAATCTTGCTATAAAATTGGTCACATTTTATGTCATAGTCTTTAAATTGGGCCTGTACTGCATGTGTTTTAAGCTTCCTATTTGTTCACAGATTTTTCCCTAGGTACATTTTAGGTGTACAAGTACCAAAAATCATTCACTTTTCTTCTTGCAGTGGAAATCAATTACGCTTTCAGACTAATTCCAGTATTTCCTTAGAGATTATCCCAAAGGAGGAAAAAAAATTACTCCTAAGAGCAAGATGACATAGTACCACAGTTTACAAATCACTTCCTCTAGAAAGGTCTAAATTCTCTGCTTAGACTGAGCATTCAAAGCGACAGAGAACCTTAATTTATGTAAAATGTAAAATCCATAATTCAAATTACTTGCCCCATAGAAACACAGCATAAATCCAAGTAATTCACTGTTTATAAAGCTTTTAAAAATCTTGAATTTAAAGGGAGTTTTATAAATATAAAGCAATTTTTTCAGTTTATCCAATCCAAACAAATTTATTTCAGCTGTGTATCAAGGTAGCCCTGTGAAACAGAAGAACAATATTTGTTGATTTTTAAAAGATTTAGAAGGTGTCTAAAGGTCTGTTTTATACAGAAAATCACACTAAGCCATTAGGGATTTTTTTTCTGGCTATATAATGTAGATATCTGAGATTTGGTGGCTACACAGGAAGATCTTTTATTCTGTACCCAACTACTGGAACTAATGACAGTACAGGAATATCACCAAAACACTTCTGATGTCTAAACCATAAAGTCGCTCTTATTTTTGGACTCACAGCTGCTTTTCTGAACAAATTGTGATGACAAATTCTGTTACTGCCAAAGTCAGCGTTCTCAAGCAGAATTAACAATGTTGCAGCCCTGACAGAACATACAATGACCATTCATTTTTATTTACACTGCATGACTTTTGTAGGGTACCACAAACAGAAAATTACACCTCTTTATAGCTAACGATTATGTGTCATTCCTGAGGTTTGCAGCTGAGGAATGCTTTGCTAAAGAAGTTACATCCATCCTATGGTAATTCACTTTTGTGAAGCCTTGACTCGCTTTGAACATGCCAGTATCTCTGCTGGAGCCACCTGTGTTAAGGTTAGTTTATCTTTGGGCCAGCTATCACACACTCACTGCACACATATTCGGACTTATTCAGTCACATTATCACATATCATGATACATTATCATATATCATGATAATGTAATTCAACAATGTGACTAAATTTTAAATCATAACATTTATATAAGAGGGACTTGGACCAAATTAAATGCTGGCTTAGGTGGTGGTATTGTAGTGTTCATACTGCACAGCGGTCTCAGAGATGCTGTGCACTGCTGAGGAGAGAGGCTTCATTTCTCTGTGAGTAACGAGAATAAGGTAAGCAAGAAATTAGCTGAAATACCCCCTTTATGTTTCCAGCAAAAAATAAAGCACCCCAGACAAAGCTATGCCATTAGTTTTTGTCTTGACAGAGTCACTGAACATCAGCCTTACTGAGATTTACAGCAACAGACCAAAGGCAAAGAACGTTTCTCTCAGAGGCCACGTCTATTTTTGATCTCAGAACAGTTCCCAAGGTTTATAAAAACCAAGTCTTCTTTATCTGAGAAGCTATTCTAATTGAGAATCCTGAAGCATTATGAGCTCATAGGTCTAGATACATACCACAGATTTCTTCTCACTCCCTAATGGGGCAAAAATCCTCAGGAAAAACAACGGGTGTACTGACAGGCCAGGATCTATGTCATGCTTTTACAGATCCTTAATCTGAACAGTCAGAAGATCAAGAATCCATGGCAGGATCCAGGGCAAGAAGTCAGCATAGACACAGGCAAATATTACTTCAGTTTGGCTCAATCCATCACTACCAAAAAAACCAAAGTCCCTTTTACTGCAAACAGTGAGACCTTCTATTATTGCTTAGTAGTGACCCTAATCTTCGTAACTTTCTGTAGCAAAAGTTTGTACAGGAAAAAAAAAAAAACAGCCAAAACCCCAAAACATTTTTAGCACTCTGCAGATAGTTTTTCCCACACTTAAGTCCATATCAAAACCCATACCAACTAAAGAATGTGCCCTCATTGGTATAATTGAGCAGAAAAGCAACAAATTCCTTTCATAAAAAGTCACTGTCTCTCAACTGTTCAATGGCTTATCCCTAGAAAAGCCTATGATATTGACATCAAGCTATTTTCCACCTGTTTGTTTATACACATTTACATACTGTAAGTATATCTTGAGTCCAATCCTACACTTGTTCATTCATGCAAAGTAACTGGCTTTATTTGGTTTCCTCACAAGTCAGGAAAAAAAAAAGATTTAGTCCCTTCCATACAAATCATAAAGGAAAAATATAATACAATTTACTTACCGAAGGATTTCTTTCCGAGTGAAGAACGTGCAATCCTGTTAAAAAATAAAATGTGTTACTGTACTATAGAAATATTGAAAACAACAGCAAAGACTTTTTTCTCAACATTTTAGAAGGAAACTCGGATCTGGAAGAAAAACATTAAAGATGTCATTTGTGTAGCATCTGCTTTTGACTCAGAAAGGAATATAAGCTATAGAATAACTGAAACATCCTAAGGACAGGGCTATCAGGAAAAAAATATTGTTAGTGTGAAACTTCAGAAGGAAAAAACCCAGCTTGCTGAAATACTTCTCCACTGTGGAATGACCAGACCAGAAACAAAATTAAATCAAAAAAGTGAGGTATAGGCCAAAACCATTCAATAAATGGATCTAGAAACCTATAAATAACAAATAGATGAAGAAAACTACCTTCTAACTTGGAATATTCCTCTAATAGAGGCAAGTGATTTAATAATAAAAGTTATGTACTTAGTTATTAGCTCTTTACTAACAATTACTTTGCACTGTGGTCAGTTTGGCAAAGGCTGCAAATTCCCATATGTTAGGAACAAAGATGAAAGGACAGCCCCTACTCCAAACAGCAGGTAAACTATTTGGCTTTCCCTGTGGTATCACAGAATTTGAAATAACTTGCTAGAATGGAAAGTAGAGCTGGCTGAACATGGAAAAAGAGCTTACAAGCATTCGCTTGCATTCCGAATGGCTCTGTTGTGGGACTGCATTTCCACGGGTTTAATTCACTCTTTAGGAACATCTGTATTTTGCTAGAAGAATTCTTACACTTCACAAAAGAACCATAATATGAGCAGTGAAAGACTTTGCACTTCATGTCATTCTACATCAGTCACAAAGTAAGTTATATTTTCAGGTGCTGTCAGGAACCATAATAATCAGTCTCATCCCATTAACAGAAATGTCCCCTAATCCCACTCACCTAATACATATTTGGGGGAAATTCAGCCCTGCATCCAAAACTAGGAACCCTGCTGGCCATGAGATACTGGACGGTCAGTTTAGAACATTGTTCAGGTCATAAATTCAGAGAATATGCATCTTCTTCTCTTAGAGCTAGTGGCTGATGAGGGTGTGTACATAGGGAACAACAACCAAACCACAAAATTCTTCCTAATTGTCCACCTCTCTCACAGGCCCATGTGATGTGGCAAGGCATTTGCCTAAGAATTCAGCTTTTAGTAGTTTTCCTCCTTTAATGTAAACATACTTCAAATAGACCATATTTTTAAATCAGCTAGTGGCAAGATAACATCATCAGACTTGGTAAGGCATACTTGAGAGTACGTACAACTGGTACGACTCCCCCAGTCCTACTCTTCAGTCAACTAGTGAAAAAGCATTTCTTTCCCAAGCTGAGAATCATTCTGGCTAAATGCCTGCTTCTTCCAAGGAGAGGAAAAGCAAATGATTGCAGGTACCTGAGGCAGTCAAACAGCTTGTCTCGGGTATCCAGGTATGCTCTCAGTCCTGCATGGTATCAATTATTGAGTTTGCTTGCCCTCCTCCATATAGAGCAGCAGGAGAAGTGGCTCTTCCTTTAGTATATTGTGTAGCAGAATAGTGTTACAAGGCACAATAGGAAGCACCTTGTGAGCTGCTGACACTGATGTCACATTGTCTGGAACTGCACAAAGTGAAATAGGAGCCAGATGGTTAAGTCTTCATGAATTCCAGCACATTCAACACTTACAGTCAAACTGTCACTTAAGGATGCTTCATTTACTACCGAAAGGAAGGTGCAATCTCACAAATAATTGTAATGCCCTCAGCAGCAATCATCCCGTAATTATACGGGCTTGAGAAAACAGCAGACACTGTTACTTAACTAGAAAGCTACAGGGAATTGATATGCAAATGGTGATAAAGATGAAAAAGAAAAGTTACCCTTTACCTTCCAGAAATCACACAAAAATGCCATTGGAAGACACATTAAGAAATCAAATCATAAACCTTTTTGGCTGAAGGTCCACATATTTATTTTTTTTTTAAATCTGAGTCATCTCATGTCTTTCACAACAAACACTATTATCTGTCTTTTCTACTTTAATAAAACAATTTTTTTACTAATATAATCTAAAAACCTTTATACCAAAAGTAGTTGCAAGTATCTGTCTGACCACCATTATTGACTGCAGCATTGCAATTATGCCTGCCAATTACATGGAACTGTGTGTCAGGGATGAGAGGTATCAAAAAAACAACCACCCTACAGTGTTTTCACAGACCACTTGCAGAGACCTTAAAGCTACTCAGGGTCAGAGTACCACAAACTAATTGTGACCTGGCCTATACTTTTGATCCACAGCAAGATCATACACACCACTTAAGAAATGCTTTACCATCAAGAAGCCTGTCTGGTCTCAAATGCCAAATGTAAAAGCCATGGCTCCGAGCTATCTCCGAAGGGGAAGCCCAGCCATCTTCTCAGCCAGCTTCTCTCAGCTTCCTATCTCTGCCTCTTCCCTTATACGGACTTCACGCCGATGAGTAGTGCAACTGTAGCAGAGAACTCTGAAAGAAGGAAACTAAGCTAGTAAAAATGGATTAGCTTCTAGCATGGATCATTTCCTTTTAGTGGTTTAGAACATAGCATCAGTAGTGCTGGTACAAGAGATGAAGCTAAAACAAGGATCTATTGATGGCAGGAAAGAGGTGCCGAACTGCCTTTTTGTTTATTCGAAAGCACAGCCCTAAGTTAGATGAAAGTCACGATGGAACAAGGGTCTAAATAACATAATTACATTTTACAGTTGATGGACAACCAGCAATTTAATCCCAATTTAATTAAAGACTTTTGGCCAAAGAAACACGGAGGTGAATCATGCAATTTTCTTCTGGCTACTTCATTCATACAGAAAATACACAGTGATGGACAATAAATGGTAAACTAAAATGTTAAATTAACTCCTTCATAAGGAAAGGTGAAGTGGGTCCTGGAAAACATTTGTCATTTATGCATATGATGACATTCATCTTCCCTCAAGCCAGAGATACCATGGAACACATTTTCTATTATGTGGACTGTATTTGAGTTTATTATGAACTTAAAAAGCAACCTGTCTATTCTGTCTGGACACTAAAGCCACTGGGAGTCCAGCTAGAAAAGCACAAACTAAAATACTGAACAAATAAATGTCACCAGAGTTTTTATAATTCTTATAAATTCAAGATTCCTGGCAAGAATTTATCCTGAGAATAAATGCTTTTATTTCTAATGTTATACAATGGCCTGAAAAACTCCTGCTACCAGGAGGCCCCTTGTGGGTTTTAGGTTATTTAGAATGGAGGCTTTGCCTTGAAAGGTCACCTACTCCAGCTCCTGAGAAAATACGTGCTCCTTTTCTAAGATCAACTGGCGCACTCGGTCAGTCCTTCTGCCCTTAATAATCAAGTTAATTAGAAGTCTGACATAGAGGATGACTACTGGGTTTTTTTGAGGTAAAATATGACTTCAACAAATCTGCGATTATCCACTTAACTTCCTTATGTTCAGCAAAGTGAATAAAATAATGCAAACAGAAAATTTTCCATTTATTTTAATGAGATCACTAGCTTGTGTAATAGGACTTGGTTCTCAAATTTGGCATTTAGGTAGCTTAACTGGTTCTTAAAATACTTTGCAGAGAAGAGTCAGACAGCTGCTGTGTTTAGGTTCCATGGGTGGCTTTTCTCTTGGCTGGTAGCATGACTTTCTGCAAGTCACTCAACATTGCTTGTAAAATGGGGTTAATAGTCTCTGCTCTTAAAATTTACTTTATAAAAGAGCAAAATGTACAGGCTGTTAGAGATCTCCTATGTCAAGTGAATGCAGGTTTAAGACAAAATGGGAACAGACTGAAATATGGTGGTTCTTTTCCACTAGTCTGTAAGACCTCACTGCAAACTCCTAGATCGGTTCTGCTTTATGTTTAGTTCTACAGTGATTTGAACAAAAAAAAACAGGAATAGAGATACCTGTGCTAAGAATGCTGATATTTAATTTTATGTAAAGTGTGTACACACAGCGTAACATGAGGTACAGATCCAGAATCTGACCACATGTGATTTGTTCTGTTGGATCTATTGCCAATATCAGAGTGTAGTATGCAGTTTATGAATGGCAGCAGAGTCCACTGAATGAAAGATTATCACTTACCATCTTTAGAGGCAAGTATCATTGTGCGTGGAGCACAGTTTTCAAATAAAACTAATTTCACATAGATAAGCAAAACACTTCTCTATAGAAAAGAAGAAAAACTGGAGAAGGGAACAATAGAATCAAAGAATAGCAATGCTTAAGTATGCAAAGCTACTGTGAAATAATATTTATTAAATCCATTAAATGCATATTTCTCCTCTAAGAAAATACATATGTAATTCTGCCTTTTATTTGCCTAGTTTCATAAGAGCAGGTTTATTCTGATCCTGCAACAGCTCCATTGGGATGTTTTATAAATAAGGAAAGGATATAAAAGAGTCTTAGCAGTAGACAATTACTCCAAATTAGAAAAAACATCTCAAACAAAAGCCAGCAAACCACAGATAAAGTAAACCAATGACTAACAGGAACGTTGACAATATCCTCAAGGCAAGACAGACTAGATCCATATAGCTATCTTACAGAGCAGCTTTTAAGAAATGAGAAGTACTGAAGGCTGCAGTATTTTAAATGATACTATTTCAGGCAAATTATTTCAGAGGTTTCATTTTTAAAATCACAAATTATGTTTTGTACCGTGCCAAAAGTACACAATGTGTCTAAGAGCATTAAATCAAAACACCATAAAAACATCATCCTATGAAGTAATCAAAAAGGTGCTGGATAGAAGCAAATGAACTTTCATCTAAGATCTATGATTATCTCTATTCTGGTAACATTCTACAAACGTAATACTTTTTTTCTAGTTGCCATACAACTAAGATTGGCAGACAGTTGTGCAAGACTGAGTCAGCAAGATATTTATGTCTTCACATCACTGTAAACATATAAAGAGTTACTGGAAGCCAATGAGACTAGCACCAGTCTTTGTTGCATAGCTGTGCAAGTACTTTAGTGAATCCAGATTTAAACACTAAAAAAATCCTGTCAGAGTTAGTTTCTGCATTAATAATAGCATTGGTATATGGACTTTTATCTTAAAAAATGCTGGTTGCATCAGAATGTCAATGGAGATTTTAACATCCAGCCTATCTTTGTTTGTAATCGTATATATTTTAGAACTACAGCCAGAGCAACTAAAACACACACACAGTTTATACATTTATACTGCAACATGGGAGTAAAACCAGACATTAGCAAGGACTGAGGAAGCGACTGTCAACAGATGTAATTTTGCTCAATCTATATATGCACCAAATGGTAACACGAAACCCGAAGTTGACTCAAGCATAAATTCACAAAAACCTTGTTCCATTATTATGCTACGTAAAATTTGCACATCAACAGCAATACTCTATCAAACTGAAAAGTACTTTTTACAGAAGATCTTGGAGAACCTGTGATGAATACACTTTTTGTATTCTTGCAAAGGGTTCATTTTAAGAGATCCTGATTAAGTCAAGCATAGCTTTTTAAATCAAAAAATAGCTTGATGACCTAGTTTCATTTTATAAATGGCATTTCTTGACAGATCATAACATAACTTGTTTCATCTGGTTTTGCATAATTCTCGTGAAATATAGTTGAATCCCACTTTGACTAGAATTTTAATAAAAGGAAAAGAGTTAGTTCTGTAATAGACAAATTCTTGTGTGAAAGCAGCAAGTCATTATTTCATATTACTATCTTTTATTGCAATATTGCCTCGAAGACAGCCAGGATAAACATCAGTTTGTTTTGAGGCAGCATTAAATAATGTAGAGTAAATAATCCCATTAATGAACAAATACAAAAAGAAATGGCTTGCATAAAAACTGTAACATCTGATATTTTATATTTTTTCCCTATATTCTCTAGTTTCTGTCTACTAAGAATAAATTAGAATCAAATTCATATCAAATTCAGACCACTTATTCGAGTAACCCCAGAAAAGACAATGAGATTGACTGAACAGTGGAGTAGTTCGTCCATACCGCAAGCACAGCTTCTGTGCATTTCCTACTTGATATAAGTGTTTGTCAGTGCAAAATGCAGTGCACTGAAGCCAATATACAGCTCTGATGTCGCTTTGTTGTATACCTTTATTTTCTGTTGCTCCAAGCATCTTCATACAGCATCGCTCAAAAAAACCCTAAAATTCCTGTTCATTTTCTTTTCTCATTACAAGACTTGACCTCCAAAATCTGTAGACAGCTCTTTTAAAAGCTTAATTTTAAAATGTTCTTTAATTGCAATGAAATACACCATTCTTGCTGATTAATTCTTACCTTTTCCCTAACCAGACCTTGGGTTAGATTTTTCATTTTATGTAACACCCGCCCAAAAAAAACCCCAAACCAAAACAAAAACACACACACACACAAAAAAACCCACCAGTCAACTACTCTAAGGGCAGAAGAAGCAGAAATCCCCAGTAGAATTCATCTTCTTACAAGGCTAACTTTTAAAGTGAGATGAATCTGCATGAGGAAACCAATGTTTGTGACAGCCTAATTTCCAAAGCATTTCACTAAGCTTGTGAAAATTTAAAGAGCTGCCAACTAGAACACTATCTTAATAACAGGTGATATGAGAAGGTGTTAGATTTGCAGCTTATCACTGTTTCTTTACATAAATTGCCTTTACCTGCTCTGAATGAAAAAAAAGCTACGAGAGGCTTAATATTATCAAGTTCTATTATGCTTTTTTTTTTTTTTTTTTTTTTTTTTTACAAACAGTTTCGAATGTCCACCTCTCCCCAAGATTTTTTAAACACTCCTCTACTAAAACATTGAGGTCACCTTGTGGGTGACCAGATTTACAATTATTTCCTTTAAATGTATAGGTGATTTACAATTATTTCCTTTAAATGTATAGGTTCTGCTAAAAAGTGATTCTTTAATATGACAGTTTATATGCAAAAAAAAAAAAGTTTAAACATAAGCATTTCAGAAAGTTTTAGACAAATAAAATAAGGTTATTTTATTTCATTAGTATGATAATAATCATCTGAGATTTGTGTGTGCTAGCTCTTCAAGCAGGTGATTTTTCTGCAGCTTAATCTTTACTCCAGAAAACTAAAGCCCCTTACATATGGTTTTACCATAATTTAAGCACATTAACTTCTGACTTTTCCATCTCCCTTTTACCTATCAGAAGTGTCTCCCATGGAACAAGCACTTAGAAAAAACAAAAATGCATTAAGAAAAAGATTTTACTACTAAAGCAACATTCAGGTGCTGTAAGCTCAGAGCAATTTGTATGCTTTCCAGCACACATTTCCACAAAAATGGTGGAAGTTACAACCAGGTAATACAATGGCCAGAAATATATTCAGATAAAGAAATAAGTCTAACCATGACAGGAGTGCGATTTTGAACAGTCTTCTAATAGGAACTGTTGGGGAATTAAAAAAAAAATGTCTATTTTACAAAAAGGATTAAGTTGATGCTTTTGCTATACTGATACTATGGACTCTGTAGTCCTCAGTATTATTGTACGGAGTACAGTACCAACTCATAGACATACAAATTCCCAAGAAGTTGCCTAGTTGTCATTTGGAGAAAAAAAAGGGGATTAATCAATGATCCATTTTCAAAGCAATTTGTATGTAGATGCCTGGCTGTACATTGGGGTACAGATGTGCATAAGAGACTCTTGCAAAGGGGACCGAGCTACACAGTGTTTTACTTTGGTCCAGCGTTCAGAGGACCTGCCAACCCAACTGCCGTCTCGAGAAATGAAAAACCTGCATTTTAAAAATTTTGGAACCATTACCCCATTCTTCCCTTTTCTGTCCTGAAGGAATTCCACAAATGAGAAAAAGGCAGATAAGATGGCAAACTCCAAGTCAAACGGCTCCGTTTGTATTACAGCAACTGCATACTCCCCCGGAATGCAGTGGAGAGACAAGAGCTCTCTGTGTGAATGGTACAGCAGTAAGTCCAGGATTTCTAAGCTTAAAAGATCCAAGAGGTAAGCAATAACTAATAGATCAGAGGCAAATCACCAGTAAAATAAGGACTTTATCCAATTGTTCTCAGCATAAGGATATTCCTTCCTGACAAATTCTGGAGGTTAGTTGTCCTGGAACTTGCTATTTTATTGTACTTACATACATAATAACTGCTATTACGAGGTAAAAATTATCTAGCATTATACTAATGAACTACAAGTCTGCCTGTAACAGAGAAATCCCATAGGCTGCCTCAATCCACTGGGCCTAACTACTGCCAGGCTTTGAGATCAATTACCCAGCATTATGCAAGGCAGGGGCTGCAAAAGCCATTAGAGAAAGGCAATTTCTACATGAAGAGAAGTGAATTAGGGATGACATTTCAGCTCTTGCATTTGCCAGTTTATGTCAAGAAGATAACATTAATTACATTTGGATTTTGTTTTGTTGCATTGCAGTTGGGCTCTGTTCTGTGTTCACCTTTATTGTTAGTAGGAAGACAGACATCAGTCTGTTACAGATCTTTGATTTCTCTCTTTCTCTTTCAGCAGGGATGTAAAAGAGCCTTTCTGGATCTTTGACTACTAAGTTTAAGACCACTAACTTAGACTAATATGTTACAGTGACAGACAGCTGGTGAGGGTGAGATGTGTGACAAAGTAGAAATCAAAGAAGCTCCGTTTTCACATTTACAGACTCATAGAATCGTTTAGGTTGCAAAAGACCTTCAAGATCATCAAGTCTACAATGACAAGAAAAAGGCTAGGAATTTAATAAGAGCATTTAATATATGCCTTATTTTCAGCATGGGATAACATTTTAAAGCATTTTTGCATCCCTATCCTTAGCCTGATTATCTGTGGCTAAATATCTACATCTGTGAAAAGTCCACATTAGCAGTAACTCCAGAGAAAATCAATATTTAAAATCATGGTTTCTACTTCAAGAGCTTGAGTCAAAGACACTGAAGGTAAAAAGAAAGTAATTTACTTTTGCATGCACTGGATCTGCCCCTTGGTTATCCCGAGATAAACTAAATGCTGATTTTCTGCACACTTATCCTATGTTTATCGCTTCATGTAAGAGAATAGAGTAATGCAGCCAACCCTGTCTGCATCTCATAATAAGTAGTTCCTTCTTCAGCACACTTCTATGCAATATATTGCCTCACTGTATTTTCAGAAACTTGTTCAAGATGCCCACTGGGCAGATAGGTTGCCGCAATCCATTTCAGCAAGATTTGCAGTGTGCTGAAACATGGGTGAAAACTGGGAATTATTATTTTATTACTCTATTAAAAATTCAGTTGATGCAATGTGAAGTAAATAAAGAAGTACCAATAAGCCACCCCTGGACATAGAACGCATACTACTTCTGTTAAGGTAAGAAACTACCATCCAGGAGTGGATGCAAGTGTAAGGATACCTGTTCTGGAATTACAGTGAGCGTATTTCTATGACTTATCCTTTGGAGAAGTTAAATTAGACAAGACTATTATTTTTTCCTCTCCCCTCTATTGACAGCAAAGGCATCAGGGAGAGAAAAAACAGGTTACTGCTACACTTTCTTCTTTACAAAACACTCAGTAGGAAGATTCTGCTAAGAACTCCCATTGTGAAGCTAGTCACAGTCTTTATCCTGCTTGCTAGTCCATGCGTTCAGGATTTAACTCCTTTCCTTGTATACAGAGAAGGGAATTAAACGGACTGTCTTCGACAACCCATCCTTACAATACTATTACAATTGCTGGGAAGGAACAGTATGATATATGCATGCTGGCTACAAATGAAGTTTTTGTTTATATTTGGAAAAAACACTACCCCAAACAAACAAAAAACCCAACACAAACATATTAAGATTATGCCTTTCTTTCCCCTAATGCAAACTAAGATGTCTTACCTGGTAGGCATCTAGCTGTTCATCAGTAAATATCGTTTGCTTATTACCCATCTTAAATGAGGAATTCTTCCTCTATGCAAATGCATCCCATTAGAAGTAGCTGGATTCCTCCGTATTGTAGGCATTTAGAGCACATATACTCCGTGGAAGTGCTGAAAAAATCCCAAAGCCTGCATTGAACTGGTTTCGACTGTACCTGTCCAATGAGGAAGGATGCGGTATTGAGAAATCTTTGCAAAGGTTTCACTTGAGTGTGCCGGGAAGGAAAGCGTTAAAATCACAGACAGGTGTCGCCCAGAAACAGTGATGCCATTCTCCTCCTTTTTCAGATGCTTTTTCTAAGAGGCATACAGAGCTTTTACAACGTAAAACCCCGAGTGGGCAGCGCAAGAAGTCAGCCCCCTGTCGCCTCGGTGCCTCACTCGCTCGCTCGCTCACTCTGCGACTTCAGGGCGCTTCTGCTCGGCACCTTCATGGTTTAGAGCAGCTTTGCGTCACCCGATGGCGCTCGGTAGCGCAGTCGTATTACACACACACAGCAAATCTAGGAACTAGAAAAATGGATTGGCAGAGTAAACGTTTCTGTAGCTGGTCTTCACACAGATAAAAGCACATCCTAGTCGGTGCTGGGATCTGACCCGTAGCGTGTTGCCGACGTTAGATACAGCTGGATGGATGCGCAAAGTGTCCAGAGCGTCCCCACAACATCACCAGGTGCCGCAGGGGCCCCCCAGTGAATGCTTATGCCTACACTGTGGCTAGAACCAGCCCTGGCCAGCAAGGATGTGAGTTCACTGCCAGAGGTGCCGAACTCCCAGGTATACCAGTGAATGCAAGTATTCCTTCTCACATTAAATATATATAAAAAAAAAAAATCAGTAAGATTAAAGTAGTTTAAACAGACGTTAATCTGACTACTTCAGCTCAAGCAAGCACAGCTGGAAAGAAAAAAAATGTTACCACAGCCCAAAGCAAAGGTAGAAAGTACCACTAGAGGGCTCACGGTGTATTTTAAAGTAATACAACCCTATTTCCAGGAAAATTAAAAAACTAAAACAAATGAAAGAGCACGTAAGAGACACAGGCAGACAAAACAAATGAACTAAAGCAAAAGTATATTATCTAACATCTGCGGAAGGTTAAGCTCTTATAACAACCGTAGGAAGAAGGCTGAGTGAGAAAGGAGGGAATCGGGGAGGAAAGACCTGTTATGTTACCTTAGACTGCTCACTTCCCATTTGTGCACACAGGAACAGGAAAGAGTTTATAAGTAATTAATAAAACTCCTACTTTCTTTATCTACAGCTCTTCCAATGGTCATTGTTTCCTCAGCAAGTTAGCATGTTTAATAAAAAAAACCTGGAGAATGATCTGCTTTTCCTCAGCTTCTAATGATCCTGACCTGATAACAGCATTGATGTTGGATATGTAGTAAAAATATTCTATGAAGTGCTGAACCACAGACTGTTCTAAGAGACAACTTATTTAGATTCTAATATTTGGAAATGCAGATTTGAGTAACTGCAAACTAGCACTGTCCTGAGCTACAAAAACACAAGGTATTACCATACATACAAAAGAAATGGGTAGGGATGAGAATGTATTCAACAAGGCTTATTAGCGATAAGCAAACATCAGAATTTTGACAGTGAAAGGAATTAATTCTACCAATAGAATATATCACAGCACAGTTTCAAAATAAGAAGGAAGAAGCTACGGTAGTAAGCACAATACAAACTCTGAATGCCCTACCATCTGATCCAGAGTGCAGCAAGCATCTATTCAAATATCAGAGAGTTGAATCGTCTGTTTGTTACACAACCAAACTGACCTCTGTTTTTCTAGCCACTAGTGCTGTGGGTTTTTCTCTTTTCCCCAGGGTACAGTGGCATTGTATTCCTGTTATGTGCAGAAAGATTCTCCACAAGCAAGTCAGAACGTAAAGAAGAAAAAAATCCCAAACCTGCAAAAGACAGTATTTCTATCTATTAAAAGTGCTCTGTTAACACACTTTTTTGAATCAGAAAACAGCAATACATAAGAGCCCCTTGAGATTAAGAACTTTCACAGTTCTGAAAGTTCTTACACATCCTCAACTCTCCATGATCTTTATCATTGGCTTTAGTGCTTATGCATATAATTAAGCATGTTTCATGTTATGATCCAGTGCTACTGAAATGCAAGAGCTAGCAGCTCTTCTCACTCAGACCAGACCAGTACACAGCCAAGTGATTTGCATGAAATAGCACTCCTTTCACAGCCACCTAATTCCAATTGCCTGTATGTGCAAATCAGATTAAATATAAATGGCCAAATTATCTCTAATGTCATTACACAGAAGTGATTTGACACCAGGGGTGGATTGGGCTCCATATCTTTTAGTCGTGTGATTCCATATACTTAATAGTATTCTTCCAGTGAAAAGACTGACACCTCACTTCTTCATTTTTCACCTGCTTTTATATTGCTGGCTGTCTGGTCCCACTGTATCCTAGATGACTCACATATCAGCTAGTCTCTATCTTTAGAATAAAAATAATAATAATAAAAGGGAGAAGGTCAAGTGGAAAGCACCAACTAGATAAGACTTGTGGTTATGAAGCTGGCCAGAGGTAGAGTTCCTGCGGTTCACACATTCCTTTTTATGCCTTTGAGCCTGGCTTTCCACTCTGCCCCCTCCACTTTTCTCTTGCATATTAGAAATGCTTTGGTTTCATGCTAATGTAGAGAAATTCTGCAGGAAAACTGGTGTGGCTAAAAGAGTTGACTGCTTTAAAAGAAAGACTCAGCTTACCCAGGGAACAGCACCCACTAAGTGTATGGACAGAAAAGAAACTGTTTCTTCAATGCTTCTTTCCAGACTCTGAAGAGTACTTTTGATTAGGAAATAAAATTAAAATTAACAGATTTATAAAAAGAGGGTTCAAACACTGATTGTTGAGGGTTCCACTATACTAGCGAGTTCTTCTCAAGCATGCTATACTGGTACCTATATTTCACTGCATAATTATCTTGCTGTACTAACTGGGTAAAATTGAGAGATGGTATAACGCACAAACTCTTTTTTGCTCCTCCTATCTGTTTGTATGTAGCAAAGATCAGATAATTTTCCAGTTTGATAAATACTAGCAGATAGAAATGAAAAAGAGCAAAGATAAAAGATAAAGTTTAATTTGCCAGTTGACTGTTAAGCAATAATTACTCCCAGCGCAAGTTACTGCAACAAATCAATACTTTTTCTATGTACACAGCAAGATCTGACCTTAGTGTTATCAGTACCAGCCTTTCATCACACTTTACTGTATTTCAATTCCTCTAAAATGCTTGCCAAAGTAAGTGATTTTAAGCTATTTAGCAACACATAGCATACATCTTGCCATCAGCTGCAAATAAAGTTTACTAAGTAGTATAAGTATGTATACAACAGTCTTGCCATTACACTGGCCAGTATACCAGAGAACACAGTTAAGTAGCAACCCTTCATCTCCTTTAAAAGTTTAATCCATAGAGCAGAAAATATACTATCAAGCATGTACACCAGATTTAATATTTTATAGCAAGATGGCAGTCAGCTGCAACAGCTTAACACCCCACCTAAGGCTGCAATCTGACCCCAGCTGCAGGGACATACTCCCACAGCCAGAGCTCAGGGAGCGGGACAAATGATGCACAAATGAGCACTCCCCATCACCTCCAGTGCAAAGTCTCCTGCCTTGAATTGTCGCTACCCACAGCTGCTACAGCAGATGACTTTGCTCTGACTTATTAGTAGAGGTGTAAGTTTAATAACCTCCAACAGACAGGTCATACTACCTTAAATTGCCTCTGTAAATTATGCAGTGAGAATTTGACTGTGGTTTAAGTATGAAGGCTCTTATTCCTCAAAGGAAGATCAAGATACTATGAACAGAGATCGCTTTACCTGTTAACGAGACATCCAGACAGAGTTTTAACAATCAAGTTGCGTATCTACTGCCTTCACTGCTCAAGTTGGTTTGCTACAACTTTTTTTTTTTTTTTTTGAGTTTTCATATATAGACATAATCAAAAGTTACCCTTTTAACTGGGGAAAAAAAACCTGCAAGATTTCATGCCCATTACGCCAAATATTCCAACAATTTCTCTCCCACACAGACGTTCCCTTGCAGATTAGCTCTTCATAAAGCTGCACTCTGTTAGCAGAAAGAACAGTTTTGATCAAGAAGGGCTGCCTTTACATTTATTCTGTTGCTACTTTCTATGAGTTAAGTTAGGGCCCCCTTCTGCTGCACGTGTAAGTAACCATGATCACTACTTGCAATGACTACAAAGGAAAAGTTCTACCCTCCACTCATGCTGTTGAAATTTACCCTGAGTCTTTGGGCCTTGTTTTGTTTCCTTGAACCCTATTCACAATTCTGTTTGCTCACAGGTAAATGAGGAATCATAATGTTCACCTACAATAGGTTCTATGGAGATGAAATACTTAAAAATGCTTGTGAGTCCCTTAAATGAAAAATGCTACAGAGCTACAAAACATTACCGTTATAATACGCTTCACTAACTGTCACAACTTGCCTCTGATTTAATAGTTATTGCAAACTATAAATAAAAAATGAGCTGTAAATACACAGTTACAAAATACAAATCCTACAATAAGTGAAAATGATGGTTTGATGCTACTGCAGTAGATAGAAAAGTAGCTTTTCCAACACGACCGGTAGGATGCTTACACCCACTAAATTTGCCTGGAAGTGCTAGCCTGTACGAGAGCGCTTTGTGGGACTGAGCACTGCCTTATGAATGAATAAACAGAACCTGAAAAAGATGCAAAACTCAAAACGATAAAAGATGTTGACTATCTGACTAAGTGCACTCATTGTGATGAGCGAGAACATTCTGTAGAGAGTTTTTAATGGTAGAAAAACAAACAGAAAGGAAAACCTTGTGCCAAATTTGTTGGTTTTATGATTTTATCTATCTAGCTTAATAAAATACACTCTCTCAGAAGATGGAGGTTTCTGACTGCATTTCATTAAGCCTAATTTATCCATAATAAATCAAGTAAAAAT